AAAAAATACCAAAAATACTGAAAAAAGTACTGAGTTTTGAGGGTCTTGATACTCAACTTGAACATCTTGAAACTTTACTCAAGCTTCCATCCTCACAGTCTTTCAAGAATCGAGGATTGAGAATTGAGGATCAAGGATCAATTTTTGAGGACCTGTCAACCTACTTTTGAGTGGTACTGTACATCTCATAGATCATAGGCAAGAACCACTCAAAATGCATGCATTACTCAGATTATTTTGTAAATAAGCATATAGCTGTACCTGCGTACTCTTCCCGCTCAATATATAAGGTGTTGGGATTGTCCCATGGAAGAATGCCCCTATTGTGAAAGATCATACAAAAATATTATGCATGGTTAAAGGCTACATAAAGTATAAGAAAAAACATCACAAGACAAAACAGACTTACCAAAAGTATGTTACAACATTCTCATCTTTCAAGTTCCAAGAGAACCCAAAATCAGCAGAATAGTAGAGCTGAGATATAAGAGGAGTATCTTATCAGTCAAGTTTTCAAATATTGACCTATCTTATCCCTCGCTCTACAAGTACATTGTACAAGTACCTCTCTGCTCTGGTACTGCTCATCTCTAACCAACTTTTACACATATTGTAAGGTGTACATTAAAAGTAACATAAATTGTACTGTGCTTTAACCATTTCACCCCAAAGACAAAGTTTCCTTTACATAGAGTTTCACAACTTTGTGAATATTTGATGGATATGTGATGGATTTCCAAAATTTGTCATGCAAAGAACTGAAGTAACAACGTTTCCACCCCTCCAATCCAAGCACCATTGCAATTTTTCAACTTTTTTTCTGGAATACACCTGGATTGTAAAACTAGTAACACCACAGTGGGCTGTGCTCTAAGAGTTTCCACCGAGGATCTGTCTAAGAGTATCAGTACTTAAAAAATTTGGCAGTTGATACATGTTTTAAGTTTTCAGTTTTGAGTCATTTCTCTTATATCTCCTTGATACTGTTAGTAGTTCCTCATGTTGATGTTTTTTAATATATACTGGTCGCAAGCTTTCAAAGGGTGTATAGTACACTTCTGAGCATTAGTTGAAACCTTCCCAGTGATTCTGCTGCATAACTATAAAGCATTGGTTCACTCTTTGCACCCTAACATCAGCATTTACATTCTCCACACTGTTTGCTTTAAAATACCAGTGGTACTGACAAAGAGTATTTGTTTGACAACTGTAGGAGCTTCTTAAATTGGTAATTAGTTTTGATCCAAGGGTGAGACTGTCAGGAGAAATCCCAAGCCAGTCACTCTCAGGGGTTAAACCATGAAATTTCAACCCTTTCAACCCTTGGAATGACCAGCATCTAATTAATCCTTAAAACAAATAATCATTAACATAAGACGCTTTGATTGTTAAATGAATTCTCCTTGTCAGTACAGCAAGAAATGTATAGAGAAGAGGATGGAGAACATAGATGATGATATTAAGGTATTATGGGTGCAGAAAACATACCTTTTTTGCTGATGCATCATAAGCTACAACAACATCTTTAATGGTTGAGTGGAAGGTGATTTCATCTGCAACAAACGGAACACTGCTGTTTATAACAGTCTGACAATCATCTAATGTGCTGTATATCATCTGGTGCTGTCTGTCAACAAAGAGATACTGAAAGGAAAAAATAAAATTTCACATAAATCACACTATCTGATCCAATCAGTAGATGACACAAGTTACTTAGTACAGTATCTTCATCAGTAGACTCTGATGAAACTTAGCTCTGTACAGACAAGAAAATGTGAACTCCACCAACACTGTAGAAGGTTTTATAGGCCACATCTGGCACAATATAATAGATCACAAATTGAACACAGCTATCAAGATTGAGATGAGTTTGCTCTTTATTCTTATCTTTGCCAAGGGATTTCTTCCAGATTCCCCCTGTTTACAGTATCTACTCTTAAAAATTTCAACCAAATAAACTTTAACTCCACCTGAAAACAGTGGACAAAAAAAGCAATGTCTGAGATGTCCACTGTTAATATCACCACAGGGCTACACAAAACCTCCTGCCACACCTAGTAATACATGCAGTAACAAAAATGGCCAATTTGACAAAATTTCCTCAAACCAAGTGAATGTCCCACCCTTCACTTACTCTTGTGTTATCCAAAGGAGAAGGATAAAACATGTCAATGCGTGCAAATCCATTTGAAATCCTAAACGAGCCAGTACGATTCACAAAGCTTTGACCATAGTTCCTAGATATCCACACATGACTGTTGCTCTGCGCTGTAGGGATAGGATCCCGCATCAACACTACAATGGTATCCCTGTGATCTCCAGCCCAATGCACATAGGCATGGTAATGACTGTCATTAAACCTAAACTGTTAATAAAAAAAAAAATACATGTAAGTGTCCATAAAAATAAGAGTATGTAACAAAGTATCCAAGGTTTCTTTAAAGACAAAGTTTCAACCCTTTTACTTCCAAGATCTGATTGCTATTTCTCCCCTTTAGCAGCTGCACATTTCTATGTTAATTGTTTCAAACATTGGTTTCAAGAATTCAGTGTTAGATCAAGATAAAAACTTCTGCTGGATAAGTTTGAGTACCCAGTATTCTTACGACTTGTTTGCCAGACAATGCACAAATTATAAAAGGGAGAAGTAACATGTTAATCACATCTGGAAGTTACAAGGTTAACCCTTAAACTACCAAGATCTGATTTTCAACTCTCCCCTCTAGCTGCTACCCCAATGCCCCCCTCTTGATCAGGTCTTGGGATTTTCAATGGATTAAATGAGGTACTTCAATAAAAGCTGATTACCAACAGTCTGCTACTGCTATGCTGTTGTTTGTTAAGATTTTATTATTTGCTACATGCTCATGGCTGCATAATTGTTCTACCGTCAGCAGCCACTTACAAAAAAAAAACAATCTGAGTCCTTGCTTGAGCAGTACAAATCTTGTATTTTAAAAAGGTTTCCAAGTTAAAATAATTCCAAATTACATGTAGCTTGTTCAGTATTTTTTCTTTAATTAATCATTTCACTCCCAAGATCTGATCATTAATTCTCCTCCTTACTATTACACATTTCCTTGTTAATCAGTTACAAGAAATTGGTGTTGGATCAAGACACCAACTTCAACTTGATAAGTTTGGGTATTCTCATTACCTGTTTGCTGGACAATGTATAGATATTATAGGGAGAAGTTACATGTTAGTCACTTCTGGGAGTGAAAGGGTTAAGGACTGTAAAGTAATGTTTCTGGAACAAAGGAAAATATAAAAGTAGTGTAGAGTTAAATTGAATAATGTTGAAATTACAGCCTTTTCACCTCAAATATATTCAACCACATTAGACAATTGGTTCCAAAGAAATTTAATCTTTTTTACAATTACCATAAAATTCATACTCAGACTATTCAACACTTTTGGCAATTCAACCATGTTAAAAATGCACGAGATAAACTGACCTCAACACAATAAACTCCATTCTGAAATATTAAAACTTTTGCCATTTAAAAGTCTGTCTTTTTTTTCAAGAATTTAGTAAATCGTTACCCAATGTAATGTTCATCAACCCTTCACGAAATTCCACTTTGCTTGCACTCTGTTTTCCTATCTCATCTCTAGAGACAGCAGTTTTTATCCCAGCTTAATGTGTTACCAACCCTGCATGACTCCTTCTAAATTAATTATCAAGTTACATTTCTTTTGTAAATTCTTTTCTCTCACATTTAAATAAACATTGCTAGGCACTCAATGATCTCCCATGCATTTTCTGCTCTGTTTTAATTTCACACCAAGGCTCCTGTTTTGCTTTTAAGGAATTGATAGTTTAGTTTTTGTTTTGATGTTACATTAGCCAGACTCTAACTCTTAGGAAAAGCCAGCTGCCACTCTCTCCAACGAAGAGAAAAATACTTATAAAATCCAGTTTGAGTAAAACCTAATTGGGGTATGACAAGATTCTACATAATCTAAAAAACAGATGGTTTACTTTGTAGTATTTCACAATCATACTGAAAGTAAAATGATTGAAAATATAAGCCCTCAAAACTTCAGGTGATTAAAACATATGCCATGGAAAGCTTCATTTTGACAGAAATAAACTTTACATCATAAAAGCAGAATGCGTTTTGGGAAATTATTGCTTTATGCAAATACACGTACATCTGAACGGCACTTTCTTTGACAGGCACATTAACATATAGTTTATAATACAAAGACTGGAGACAATGCTGTGTTTTCGCTGAGCCATGACACTTAATTTTTGTAATTGTTCATTAGATTTGTTTCAAAAGGTAGCTGATTGTCAACATACATGTATGCGTAGAATTCTTCAACTCTACAGTAACTTTTCAGCCAACAATAGAAACATAATTGCAGCTGATAAAGAAATGCAGTGAGACACAACATTACTGATTAATCAAGAAATTCTTTCAAAACATTATGTAATAATTCTTTGGTTAAATGGGCACAAAATATGCTCTAGAATTTTGGAATAAAATGTAAAAAAACTTCGACATGGTGGAGTCTTGATAAGCATTCTGAAACCTAGTCCTTAAAATTTGAAATTACATACAGTATGTGATAGTTCAAGATATCAGATAACCAAAACACACGCGTATCTAGAATAAAATTTCCTTTGTAATAGAAGAACTTGAAATTGTGCCAAACCTTTCCTGAGTATATTGCACCACCCAAGTGTAAGTCAGAGACCAAAACTATAAGATCCAGACTTTCCAGTTAAAGAAAATACAAGATATGCATTGGATCTTCGAAACACAAACTAGTTCACAGTGTTTATTGACCTACTTACACAAGGGGTGTGCTCAAACCGAGCATAGACATCAAAGGTAACAAACATTTTCCTTGCAGCAACCTAAAAAACTGTGCTTGAATGAAAGCTTTGCACATTTGAGCATCCTAAATTTTTAAAAATGGTCCTCTAGGAATACAGCATTATCAAAAGCTTAAAAGACTGACAAAAGAGTATGATATCAGGGGAGAGTGACATCACAGACTTAAACCAGTTTTATTGCTGTGTGGTCTGAAACAAACTTTAAAACAAACATGTGGATCACTGGCACTGGAAAACGTTTAGGTTGTAATTACCAAACAAGTGCGATTGAAAACATTTCTACCACCAAGTCATGTGATCATTAAACATCATTTTTGTGCACTTTTCAAAACGTCTTAATTAAAGTATTGAATCCAACCGAAAAGACTAGCACTACATCGTATGCAATTCCCTGCCAAAAACTGTCACATGTAAAAGTTAATACAACCAAAAATATTGTGCAGAAGTGCTCTGATATTTTTCCTTGTTGACAATTGCCGCTAAAAAACGGCTTCGGTGCGAAACTCACAAGAAATTCACATACTTGATCAACACTGCACATTATTATCGCCAGAAATAACTCTAAGCTGAACGAGTCTGTACAACAGTGGAGAAATATTATATCACAACCGTTCAGAACTACTGAAAATAAAATTTAGATCTTCAGGTCAAATTCTCTGCTCCGACAAATATCGCTTCAATTTTGATCAGTGAAGCAGGAAGTTCGCATTAAATTTGTTTTGGTATGAACCACACTGTACTTATGCAAAGCTAGCAGATGCAAAAACCTCGACGATCATTGACTCATATATGCATTTTAAAAATGCCCCATAAGTTAAACTGAGCAATAATCTTTTGTTAGAAATGTTAACTATATGGAAGAACTTTAAAGGTGTTTGCATGCAGCCGATGACATCATAGTTTTAATAATTATATTGCTTTGACAATCGCGTATGTACCGAACGCTTGAAAGTCTCTCTACCTCGCCAACACATATTTTCGACAATTATTTTAAAGAATGAAGCACTTTAACAAAAATTCTTACCACGTGAGCTTCGGGATTCATGTCGGGATCCACCGATCGACGAACTCGTCGCAAGAATTCAGGTTCCTCTTGTTCAGCACTGAACCGAGGTGGTTCTTCGTATTCAATCTTCAACAACTTTTTCGAAGAGCCAGGCAGCGGTTGGCTTCTTTGTACGAACAAATGTCTTTTTCTAGGTTCTTCAGCCGCCTTATCCGAAATTCCCCCACATTCTGAGGCCAGGGAGAACAGCAAAAGTACGAAAATTTCCCACACGACCCGCTCCATGTTTCGGTGAGAATAAGACTGAGACTGGTACGAAACGGTCAACCTCACGTGATCATACGTCATTCTTTGCCCTCGCGGCATCGCGCGTGTTACGATGACAATGCAAAACAAAGTCTTATTTTGGTAAAGCAATATGATTGGTGGCGTGCCTTTACAACAGACAATTTCCGGGTCAGTTGTCATTGGCACACAGACATGGTTAGACACGAACAACCTTTGAGCACGGAAACGCAGCTGATTTTCTATTATCCTGGCGTCATTTTTGGCTTCACTCAGCACCAAAATTGATTCAGTGAACCAGTAGGAGACTTACAGGACTACTGAAAAGTAATAGGGCCTATACGACCTTTGAAAAACATAGCAAATAAGATTCCTTTGCTTAGGATTAGGTCTAAGGTCTTCTAGAAAAGCGCGAGTGTTAATGAGTTGACAAATCAGCACGTACGACCGAGGCCTGCTTTAGCAGGTGGTCCCAAAAGTTTGATGTATTCGTTCTAATATCTATTGGAAACATTTAAACAGGCTGGCCCAGTTCAAACTAAAGCTGGTTTAATAGGGGGCCTGTAAGCGCTTCGAAATATTTTTAATATATCTTTGGGTACGGGTGATTTGACGCTAGTTAACTGAAATTCTCAGCGCGTATATTCAATAGATATTCTGTTTGAATGAGAGTTCTTTTTCAGTATCACCCAGCAAGTACTCCTATCAACAGTCACGAATTTTTCTGCGCCTTACTTGAAACGGCCTTTATCGCTGCCCGTCCATGCGTATCAACGGGCTTGTATCTATTTATGCAGTGAGACGGACCGGCAAACGAAAAAACAGAGTCTAGCACTGGTTAAGATTCTTGGTTCTTCAGAAGCAAATTACATAGGTTATATGATTCTGTAAAGACAGTCGGTCACCCACGGGGAATGGCGGAGTGACCGCTTCATACGGGTTCCGTTTATTAGGGGTATTATAGAAAACCATAAACAACGCCTCTTTGACCTCTTAACGTACAGAATCTCTTACTTTGGTTATGGAAGAGAAACATGAATTAACAATTACTTGAAATACTATTTTTAGTTTTATTTGAGTGGTTCCGCCTTCTGTGACGGTTCAATACAGGTGGAGGGCAATACAAACAGGCCGTTGGGACTTCGTAAAGGGTGACCACGACCGCTTAATAGAGGTGAAAATTACAGTGATTAAGGGGAAACAAAATAGGGACTTTGACTACTGACCGCTTAATATAGGGTGACCGCTTAATATGGTTCCTCTAAATACAGATTCGACTGTATATCTTAGTCACAAATCATCATACAAGCCGAAGAGGGGCCTCATTAGTACCTCAAGACTTACCAGGATCCCCCTGGCTCGGTTCCTAATTAATTGAGCTCTCTATTCATGTTCGTGTTTTCCAGCCTCCTTGGTGGCAGGCTGAGAGGATCTCTCGGCCAAATGGTCCTGAAAGTAACGTACTGTCAAGGACACCAATGCCTCCCTTCTTTTCACCCCGGAAATTTGCTCGCTAGTTTTATCATTGTTTCCTGACCCAGCATCATAATGTGTACCACAATTTGTTCTCATGTATCTTCCCGCAAGGCAGCATTACTCTGATAAAAGCCGGAAAATATAATTCGACCATGATTAAATTACTTCTACTCTATCATTCGTGCTTTTGTCTACAATTGTAGAACCGGTTTAAGCAGCACTGTATTAAGCGGTAATCCCTTATCAAGTGGTCTGTTTTCAAAGTCTTACAGCGACGTAGAAACGAATGAAAAACAGCACCGAACTGATACCACAGAAAGCCGCCCACAGAATGGTCAACAACAAAAAAAAGAGTAACCACTGCCCTATACCTCATAACCAGAAACAGGGCGAGAAGTCTTTCCACACTTATTGTGGTTAATTTGGTCGAGGAAACTCCACAAAATATTCCTTCTGCGATACTGATCGGTATTCCAATTAGATGGCAAATGTTAGGGGGTTTCTGGTATCATCAAATAAGTAACGTGCGGCTGTTACAGAATGAGACCCACGCAGAGATCTGTGCTCGCGAGACAGCGGAATTACAATTTCGTGGGGGAGGGGGGGCGAATTGAACACTTTCGTAAAGCTAAGAGGATGAGAGCATTTCAAGTAAATGCAGATATAGAAAAGCAGATATTTAGCAAAAACTACAAGAAACACGTGTAGTTCTTTTCGAAACGATGTGTTAATGACGCAAAATTTGCTTGTCTGGTGCTGTGAATTCCATTCCTAAATAGATTTGCCATTTTCGTGTCATAAGAACAGAATGATTCATTGATATTTCCTGATCTTTGAGCAAGGACAGTCTTAACTTCCTTAAGCTTCAAGGCTGATATGTAACATGTTCCTCAGTATTCCTTTATTTGGCGCTGTGAGTCCTAATAATAGAATAAACGAATTCACCTGGATACAAAGCTCAATCATGCTGCCATTAAAAAAATTGGCCTTCAAGTTTCAACCAAATGAAAGAAGCTAATGATCTCCAGTAATGATTGGATCATTGAGGATTTCAAATTGAGGGGAACAAAATACCGATCATGTAATGGCTAAGCAAATGCAAATATTTGCATGGTTTGATTCATCTCGATCGTGAGATAATTTATTTCTGATTTGCTGGGTCAAGAGTTAGAACATTCTATGCGAGTTAGCTACGCAAATGCTAATACTTGTTTTGACTATTCGCGAGATAAACTATTTTTGATATGCTGTGGCTACACATTTTCAAATTTTCCTGTGGTAGAACGTTCTTGGCAAGTTGGGGTCCTACCGGATCAAACTGAGGCAAAAATGCCTGCCCTTTTAACTCATTTTCAAGCCAAATTAGAATTTCATTTTCCATAAATATACTTTATCTGTCCTTTACAGTTTCCTACTTGAAGTTTTTCCCTGATTTTTTCCTCTCCTATTGAGGCTAACCCAGCCGGACAAGGATGTTGTATTGAAAGGTGTATTCAGTTACTAAAATTAGCTTGTTATTTGCTAAAATCAATCGTGATATTGTTTACACGAAACGAGAGGACACGTTAAAGAGTCAAGGAAGATGTTAGTGTATGAGACAAGAAAGAGCTTTGTAATTGTTCTGACTATCATTTGGTCAGATTCATCAATATCTATTTATTCCATTTGGAAATAGCTTTCATAGCCATAACTCAGTATACAACCTTAATTCATTTGTTTTGTTTGGGAGATATGAAAAATCGCTTTTGAAAAGAAAAATCACAATAACACACTTTGTACTCGTCATCAACCCCTTTAGGCTGAAGATGAGGGCCATCAATATCCTAATGCTTTGGCTCGTGATCGGAGATGTCGACCAGGAAAAAATACAGGAGGGTTGTATTAAACTATCATTACCGGATTTAGATATCGTGGCAGGATATTGTTCTTGGGTTTCTTGTCCCTAAGATCTGTTAGAGGTTCTTCTTGATATTGGATGCACAAAATTTAACTGCTTTTTAAATTCAATAATTTGCTTTCACGTCCATAGCTTGTACCAACCACTCAGTTAATTAAAATTCATCTTAGAACAAGTGAAAAGGTGGGGCCAGCAAGGGAAAATCACATTGATGGGGGGACTCAATCTCAAAAACCCAGCTTGCGGATTTTTCCCTCGCCCGCTGTTTTGCTCTCCTTTAATAATTTCGAGCCTTGTAAAAGTAAGACAATAAAGACTGTTGATGAAATAAGTTTTTTGAACCGGTGCAACTCTGATTTGGTCTACGGTAAATTAGTCTTTAGAGCTACAAGAAAGACATCAAAAAGTCATTTAAAAAGTCATTTACTTTCCTCTTTGCAAGTCCATTGACATCTGTTTTATTAAATCTTTACCGTTTAGTGGCAAGCAACCCTTCTGATGGTGTCTTTTACTGCTTGTCTCACCTCTTGGATTTTCCAGAAGTAAAGAATCGGGTTCAGAGATGAGTTGAACACAACGATAGACAATGTTATGTTATAGACGAAGTCAAGAATTGACGAATGTAGTTTGGTGAAGGCAAACAAAGCAAGAACAATTGCAAGAGGAAGATAGCAAGTCACTAGCGCCATCTGCAATAACAGTGAGAAGGAAACTGTCTTTTTGTATCGAGGTGTGCTTAGGAGAGTTTCTTCTCCAGATTTGTTGGGATTTCCCTGGTGAGTATTGTGTGCCAACCGTCTCTGGTGTCGATTAAAAGCGAGATAAATTTTTGTGTAACAGAAAGCAGAGACAATTAAACACAATACCATTACGATGCTAACTAGTCCTACAGCGATGTGGTAACTTACTAAAAACAGCATCGAAAGGATAACACAGAAAGCCCACAGTATGGTCACCAGAACACGAACGCGTCTTAGTGTAACCACTTCTCTGTACCTCATAACCAGCAACAGGGCGAGAAGTCTTTCCACGCTTATTGCGGTTAATGTTGTCAATGACATGCCACAAAATATTATACCTGCGATACGGATCAGTGTGGCTATAAGCGGGCAAATGTTGAGGGATTCTGATGTCATCATATAAGTAAGGTAGAAGGGCTGCAGAATGAGACCCACGCAGAGATCTGTGCTGGCAAGACAACAGAATAGCAATTTCGTTGTTGAGCGAACTGAACACTTACGCAATGCAACGAGAATGAGAGCATTCCATGTACATGCAGTTATACTCAAGCAAATATTTAGCACAATAAGAAACAGATGCAGTTCTCTTCCCAACGACGTATTGATGCAAAATTCTGTTTGATTCGTAGTGTGTTTTCCATCCTCAGATAGATTTGCCATATTCTTGTCTTGAGAACAAATCTATTTGTGTTTCCTGAGCGGCCTGTTGGCGAAGACAGTGTTCTTAAAATTCCAAAGAATGCGGATATCTTAAGCAAGATATGTACTATGATCTTCGGTACTAAATACGTTGGAGCTGTGATTTCTAATAACAAGGAAAAGGAATTCATTCAGATACTGGGCTAAATCATACCACAATTGCAAAAGTGACCCTCAGATTTCACCAAAATTGAAGAAGCTAATTGAAACCAGTTATGATTCAGCGATCACTTGAGATTCTAAACTGAGCGAAATCAAAATACCGATTGTGTAATAGCTGATCTCATGACCACACGCAAATATTTGAGTTGACTATTTGCGAGATATTCCACCTGTGCGGAAATGCATGGCTAAAGCGCGTTTGGTCAAGAGTTAGAACATTTTAAGCGAGTTGGGGTTCTAGTGGATCAAACTAATGATACTGACTCTACTGAAACAAAATGACAACCGCTTTTACTCATTTTCAAGCTAAATTACAAGTTCACTGTCCCTAAATAAACTTTACCTGTCCTTTAGTGTTTTAGTTCCGTCCTGGAAGTATTTTCCTACATTTGTTCTCTGCTACTGAGGTTAACCAGTCTGGATGAGGATAGTGTCACGAAAGATGCATTCATCTACTAAATTACCTTCAGTGATATGGTTTAATTAAAATCACGCGTAATATTGGTTATCTGAAACAGGATGACGCACAAAATTTTAGGGCCAGAAAAATATGTCTGCGAGACACACGGCAGCTTTGTAAGTGAGATCAGATACCATATTTAGCCAGATTCATCAATATCTATTTTTTTCGATTAGGATCCTGTTTAATTATAACATTCCTAGCCATTAACTCAGTATCGTACCCTCATTTCGTTAGGACGAAATAAAAATCGCTCGGAAAGAGGAAAAAATCACAGCGGTACACTTTGTACTCGTGATCAAAGGCCAAAGAGAAACTCCACAAATATCTTAAATTAATGTTTTGGTCGGTAAACTGAGATGACTATCAGACAAAAACAAGAGGGTTGTATCATACTGCAATTATCAGATTTGG